CTCCATTAAAACCCATCGGACTTGCGTACCTTATTCTGCTAAGTATGAACTTACAACGTACAATGTTAAACTACGCACACATATGTAATTTAATTCAATATATTATTGTTACCTGCAACTACATTTTAATGCTATTATTCGCAAAATATGGACGCACAAACATATCGACGGTTTCGTGGTAAAAGGGTTTAAGCGACATTTTGGACGATATTTACTTATATATTAATTGTTAAAATACTTTGCATGACTGATTAGATAGATCATGTAAACGCATGTTTTATTAATAAACTAGCTACTCTCGGTTTCACCCGCTGCTCGGCTCCATTTAATCTTAGCGTGATGTTTTATAGCCTTTAGCACTCAAGAACATTGTAGCTATCAGTGAAAGAATTTTGGCAATCCGACCAGCACTTCCAAAGATTACCGCCTACATACAAACTTACAAACTCACATACTTACAAATTTTACCTCTTTATAATATACTCGCTTTTAGAGATATAATAATAGTCGCTTTTTCTGTCCCTATGTATTAACAATTGCATAATTATTATTAAATGTAAACTTCCTTTAGCAATCAGCACTTTAGCCAAAAATCAAACAAGCACCCGGGTCTCTACCCGGGTACGAAAACCTATTGAACGTCAATATCAATGCCTGTCTATGCGATCAACAATCAACAAAAAAAAATCTGTCTAATTTTCACAAAAAGAAAAAGTAGATACCAAAAATAAACTTTCACAATTAATCTTCGAGAGATTAAAACACATTAATTATAGTTATAGTTCTATATTTAGCTGATAATGGCCGTACATTAATATTTATTATTGGTGACATCGGACGCCGTTTGCTGCTAATTCTCGAAACAATATAGAACCGGTTAAACATCTGGGCAACGCCGGGTCCCATCAGCAATGCAAATTGAAAATCAGGTACTGACTCAGAAAGACTCTTGTTTCGGTAGTTCATATATTTTTTATCCTTTTATTACGTGATTATTTTCTTAAGCCTTTCAACGCCATCACAAAATTGATGAGGGCAAAACTCATATTATATTGCCCTCAAGGCGTTTAACGCGTTAAGTAGGTATGGAAGAGTTAGTCCGATCAGCTTCACACAATACCGGCGTGCAACACCGCTTCCGTTGTAAATCGTCGTGTGAATGAGGTGATCGATGGCCAAACAAATAAAACTAAAAACAAAATTGAAATATTTTGGCTAGTTTTTTTTATGTAATAAGTCGGCAAACAAGTGGACGGATTACCTTGTGGTAAGCAATCAGCGCCGCCCATGGACATCCGCGACGGAGGAGTTACGAGTGCGTTGCCGACCTTTTAGGGATTAGGGATTTGGAGATTTAGGGACTGGGGAGGGATTGGGGACTAGTGATGATTTCCTTATTGAGCTTAGGTTAAGCACTGAAGTACTTTAATAGTCTCTTCAATTCCCTACAAATGTTGAATAATTCATACAAAAGTCCGGGAAAATCCGAAACTTGCAATTCTAAGGTAAAACGCTTGCCAAAATGCTGACATGCCCACAGTATTTATTTATTTCTCTAGACGTAAGAAATATTTATTTGTATCCAATTTATTGATTCAATTGTAATAAAATAATTCAATATTTTGAGTGTTTTAAAATGAACTTAATTTTTAAACTAATAGAATCAAGTTGGTGGTAATATTGTTTTATTCTATCTAAAAAAAATGGCTAATCTGATTTACAAAAAACATTTTTTGTTTTTGTTTTATGCTATATCAACAGAACTAATATATAAAACACTAAGTAAAATCGACTCAATATAAATTCCAACCTAAAATTTTAATTCAAAAACTCATTTATCATATTACCTACTTATTTATATGTCAAATAGCAAAAGAACTACAGACAAAAAATCTTAAATAAAAATTTAATTCTATTATTCTAATTAATTGCCAGAAATATATAATCTAAAATTCACTATATATTTTATATTTATTAAGGAAATTCTGTTTATTGTTATATTGGGACCAAACTATTACTCAATTGGCAGTGGAATTGAAGGTTCATGTTCAATTACCAGATTCTACTTAATGTGTTATACAGCGTTTGACTATGTACTAAATGTCAGGAATGTCTCAGCTCTTCCAATAGGTCATATCGCTTTGTTGTGGAATTTATTAAAGTTTTTGAATATTACATTTAATTACTTCGGCATTGACATAAACAATAAGATAATTTCTGTATGTTTATTGCTAGATTCTTATCTCTAAGAGTGTAAACAAAGCTTATTTGAATGCCTATGTTTAAGAAACGATTAGTTAATTGTGATAATTTAATCACATTTTTAACAAAGTCATAAATTACCTACTTATAAAAGCCATGATCGAAATTTGAATCAAATTCTTCTGCTAGATATAGGATACATTTTATTTTTGTAGAGACTCAAAAGTGGATTATAAAGAGTCTATTGAGCCAGTTTGACTTATATTCGTAACGAAAATTTGCTCGGTGAGAAAAATGCTTACACTTTTTTTTTCAACTTCTAGCATTTTATTGTTACATACATAACTATGTAATTGTATTTAATATTGCATTATTTGTTTAAAATCTTCTCGCTGCTTTTTATTATAAGTTCATATATTATTTCAATTGTAAGCAGTGGAAATTAATTTGTATAGCTGCTAATTTTCATACAGGTACAAAAATAAATAAAACAAATAAACAAATAAGAATCTACATTTTTAAATTATTTTCCAAAATAATATTGTTCTCAAAACAAATGGAAACACATTAAATTAAAACGTTTCCGAATATCAATATTTACAATTGACCACGACCATAGCAAATAAAACAGCCAATATTTTAAATCACTTTAAAATGTCAACTCAAATTGTTTCAAGCACATTTTAAAATCCCTTTTCCGTGTCAACAAACAGTTCGTCAACTTATAATCAATATAACAATCATTTATTGTATATTGGTTGCTATTCCATACCGCTACCAGCATCAGCAAATCAACATACCACCAACCTGTGAGTTTTTCTTATTAAACTTTCGACTTTATATCGAAACACTAAAGTTGCAAATGTAATAAAGAAATTTTACACGAAGGTGTACTTTGACTTGCTGGCGAGTGTACTGGGAACCAATGGGTACTGTTGGCACCTTTCCTGAATACTAAATAGGTGATGAGTTCACTCTAAGTGTCTTTATCCTTTAGAGGTCACCGGCCGAAAGTGAAAACCCTTTGTCTGTGTATGGCTTCCTCGCTCCCATTTGACGACGACAAAACCCATGCCCGTGACACGAGGCATGAGGTACGGTTATGGCGGGTTTCATAATATGCATATAACATGGTGCATACTGAGTGCATTGGCCTTTGTTCTTACTCCGTGGCATTGGCCATCGATATTGTATGGCGTTGAAGGTTTTATGCGTACTCTATAGACGCTAATTTAGTTTAAAGGAGATTCTTTTTTTGCATAAGCTTAATTTTTATAATCTATATTTTTTGTGTTTGAAAATATTTTAAAATAACATTAAAAACTCCACTTAAAAAATCCTAAATTAATTCAATTTACGAAAACCTCAATATCTAGAATGCCATGCAGCCAAACCTCAATATCTAGAATGCCATTCTGCTAAAATTTTAAGATGGGTACGTAAGTCGTTAAGAAGAAAAAAAAATGGTCAGCGAAAATACACATTTCTTAACGATTCTTATTCACAAATTTTAAGTTATAAATTTCAATTAATCGCATATTCAGCAGTAATTAGAAATAGTAAGACGAACCTGGGCTATTCCACTAAAACCTACATTACCACGAACACTTTTATAATCAAGCAATTTAAAAAAATTACATTCGTTCAACAATTTTTAAACACTGATAGCTCTATTTTTTCAAAATTATGGCTCGTAACAAAACCATAAATTATATTCTTTGAAACCTTTTTATTAGTTGTGCAATTTTCTTTTCAGTTTAATTTAGGTAATAGTAGATTTTTTTCTTTAAGAATTTAAGTTGTGAAGTTAAAATAATACGGCTGACAATGTAATTATAAGTGTTGTAATAAATTTGAATTGACATTTACCGATGGCTAATAAATAGGTACGCCAGTGCAATTAATGGCAAAGTGGTAGTTTAGAGCAAATATTCAGCTGAAAAGTTTTGTCTCATAAGGTTTTGTTTTAATTTTATTTTTTACACAATATCTGTGCCTCTAATTTTAAACGTGAAAATATGAAATAGTGTAATATATGTAAACAGTAGTAGTATATGTGTATACATATAAAAAACATCGAATTATAGATTTATCGATCGATACTTCAATAAAATACATATAAAACTAAACACTGAAATGGTCTCATGGCTCAATTTTATTACTCTACGTAAATATTATTTGTATTTTACAAAACTTTTGTTTATTTTTTACCTTAAAGAAGAAAAATAATGATTTTATTGCAAATATTGCATTTAAAAATCGAAATAATGTAAACTATTTGTCGTTTTCAAAATGTTAATCGGAAACAGAATTTAATTAATCGATTTTAGCAAAACCTTAGTGGTACTATCGAAAGTCAATAAAATTATCATAAAACGAACATTATACTTTAACACTTTCACTGAACAGGAGTCAACTATAAAGGAAATGGGTTTGCTATGAATATTTATTAGATTTGCAAATAAAATACACATATTTGTAAAAACAAACAACAAAAGTTGGCCGACTGCCTGCGCAGACGCCGCGAAAAGCCGGTAACAACTTGATCTACGAAGCTTATGTGTACTTAAATATTCAAATCTTAACGCTTCTAGAATAAATAATATAATCGTTTATTTTTTTTCTATTTGATATTTACAATATATAATTAATTATAGTTTTTGATAGTTCTGATTTTGTAAAAAAAAAATACTTAAAAAAATATGTTAGTGTGAAAATATCAGTTAGTTTATTAAGCTATTTTCATACAAACTTAAAGTTTTGCGTGTTTTTGCGTAATAATGTGTCACGGTACTCACAGTTGCGGTGTTGCGGCGTGCGGCCGGCTTGTGATTGTGTGTCGCTTCGCGCTGCACCGTCGTTTTATGCGCACGCGCACCGCGTCCACAGGATGTCAACAAATGTAATTTTTTTCCTGTTTCTTTATTTTTTTTACATCTGCGACCGATTCATAACACAACTACCTAAATATAATGAGTAATACTTTAAGTATAAAATGTGGTTGACAAATCCCTTTCTTCTTGTTTGAATGTGTCACTTTGCACACATTTGAAAACCCTTCTCAATGTGAATTGTAAATAATAATGTTATTTCAATCTCATTGTTTGGTACCATTGTGTTTTTAAATCCTACTGATACCGATATTAAATACCATCTTAAATTTATTTTTCTAGCTGTAAATTTAATCAGATTTGTGTAACAACAGCCTGTATATCGCTTGATCGATGATGGTGCGCAGGCGACGCTCCCCAAAAGTGCAATGTATCAAACAATGAGATCAATGGTGGGTTTGGGTCGACCAACGGTCCCAAAAACCTGTATCCACGGGGAAAGGCTCTAAATACCTTATTACATTTAATTTATGCCAATGATAAAAATGTTCCGTTTTCTTCCAACTCCCAAAATTTAATCTCACTAATGAACCAGAATTAATGGCGCAGTTTTACAAGTACTCGCGAGTGCGTGAACATCGAAATTTTATTGACTACACCGTTTTTATTGGTAGTTGATTCGTACCAAAATACAGGCAATTTTCTTGTTCGTACTTTGTAAGTTCAATGCACTGATTTTATAAGTTTCTTACCCCTTCAATATATCCTAAACTTATATTATAAAATTGCGAAAGTAACTCTGTCTGTCTATCTGTCTGTCTGTCTTTTCTTCACGCCTAAACTACTGAACCGATTTCTGTGAAATTTGGTACAGACATAGTTTGGAATTTGAGAAAGGATATATGATCGTTTTTGCACCAAGAATCTGCAGAAAGTCAGTATTCCACGTGAACGGAGTCGCGGGCAAAAGCTAGTGGTACATATATCAGACTATCTTACTAATTTTACCGTCTACTAAGTTACTATTATAAACTTAACGTAACATAACAAACTAATGTTAACCTTAAAATCCACTAACTCCTTCACGAAACAAAAGCACACACACGAAATAGAAAAAAGAAAGAAAGAATTTCAAAACATTCTCGATCAAGCAATCCGGGCCTCGGAAACTTGTGAGAAAAGTCTTTAAGTATCTAATAAAAAGACACACTGAAGCTACTTAGGGGTAGGTACAAAAACATCCTCTCAGCGACATACCTAACTCCAGTTAAGCACTAAAAACTTCCAAGAGGCTTTCCCTTTTAGCTTAATATTGGCCCAGTTTACCTATTTGCATCTACAAAGTAGTCTCAAAGTGAAAATATTTATGCAAAAAAACAAGTCTCGATAATGACCCAGAGGCATTATAAATACTCCTTGTTATATTTCTATTAATTGTCTGTGATATAGAGTATCATATCTTTATCACCATCTCTGTTTAACCCTTATTTACGGCTAAGGGATTATGACGAGAAGGGATAAAGGCTAATAATCGGCTACGGGACTATAAATTTAACACAGACCAAGCAGAAATATTCTTTGAAAATCCCTTTTAAACAACAATCTACAATCGATTTTGTTTTTGGACAACGAGCATAAGTATTATCTCATGGTAAGCAATCGGTGCCGCCCATAGACGCCCTCAACACCAAATCAGTTACAAGTGCGTTGCCAGCCTTTTGTGGGTTCTTAGGGATTTGGGGATAAGGTTTCTTTAGACTCCCCAATCCTCTAACCGACCGTAAAATTACGATATAAAGAATTATTATAATTACTCTTTGCAGCTCATCCTAATTTGGGGTTAATTTTATCCTATTTAAGTAATAGGTAATGGGGTCAAGCACCCTCCCGGTGTTTTCTAGGGTAAATTTACAACATAACGACAGTTGTTTGCGAATTATTTTGTGTAGACCTAATTAGTTTAGAATAAGTACCTAGAGAGGACTTATGGAAATTGTTTTCGACCATTTGACCTAACTTGAACTTATGAAAAGTATTTAACTGTTGTTTTGTATTAAGTAAGTGTGTAAGTGTGGGAGAGCCATGCTTCGGCACGAATGGATCGGCTCGACCGGAGTGATACCACAGCCTCACAGAAAACCGGCGTGAAACAACTACAGCGTTGTGATTCGCCATGTGAGTGAGGTTAACGGAGGCCCAATCCTTTCTCTCCCCCAATCCCTTATACCCAAAAGGTCGGCAACGCACTCGTAACTCCTCTGATGCTGTGAGTGTCTATGGGCGGCGCTGATTGCTTACCATCAGGTAATCGGCCTGCTCGTTTACCGACCCATAAAAAAAATTATAGGCCAGGCCTTCACAGTTTTATTCTAGACGCTGTATGTATAACTGCAAAGGGTCAAATTTCAACTTAATGAAACTGATTTTCTATTTAAAAAACCAGTTTCCGCTTTCAGTTCTTTTTCATATTTTAGTAAAGGATCGGTCTACAAAAGAACAGATAGAGGACACTCGGAATAAAAAAGAAAAAAGAAATGAGATTAGAGTGCATTGCTGGCCTTTTGTGGTATATTAGGAATTTAAAGATAGGATTCATGGATGTGGTGGAACCTCACTCACACATATACGGTAAAACATAACGTAAGTATTGTTTCATGCCGGTATTGTGTGAGGCCGTACTATCACCCCCGATCGAGCCGTCCATACCTACGTGTTGAAGCCTGGCTCTCCTACAATTATTATTCTATTTAATTCTTACAAAACTCGTACAAATCTTACTAATATTATAAATGCGAAACTTACGATGTTTGCATGTTTGTAACTCTGCTGGCTGGATGGATCTGGATGAAATTTGGCACAGGCATAGGATACACTCCAGAATCGAACATAGGCTACTTTTTATTATAATACTACGCAGAGGAAGCCGTGAGCGCAAGCTAGTGATCGATAAACAAATCCTTCTAGCCTCTAAAAAGTAGGACGTTGATATTTGCACTCTAAAAGTGTTCGGAAAAGGTTGAATTTTGAATGTCATCCAGATAGTGTGGTTGAAATAAACAGTTAGATATATATACAAACAATGTTAATGCGTTATTGACCTACATAGTTTACTACCACCATACTATTTCAAGGATAACATTTTCACTGTTTTTAATGTAAATATTATTTCATATCTAGGATAAAGATAACATGACATAGACAATGCTTTTAATCCTCAAAGCGTATGCAGATGTATCTACAAATACGTACATAATTTTGTAAAGCAGAATCCGCTTTTTACTTCATATTTTATGGGTTCATGTGGTAAGGGATGATTTGGTTACCATAATTAACATAATTATTATGTAGAGTACTGATAAATTTTCAAAAAACTGAAAAAAGTACAAAATTGTTTTTTTTTAAATAACAGTTGCCCGACCCCACAGTTTTCTCCTGTGTCGTCATACAATTTTACAAACACATCACACCCATACCCGGAACAACAACGTGCGGGAATCGAACAAGCGCGCGACACGGTGCGCGGCAGCCACTTGGCCAGCCGTGCAGTCACAATGCTTTTTCCGAACTAGGAATCGATGTCCAGAACTCTAGTTAGCAGATGCTCTTTTAACCACTCCACCAACGTAACGTGGTAGTATACTATTAGCCAAATACATTTAAGTGTTATTTTAATGGCAAATACAGGCTGATAAAAAAAACTAACGATTAGAAAAAAATATAGAAACCACAGTACCGTACAATACTGAGAACATTCAAATCGTTCAATACTTCTAATTTGCATTCTATTGGTCTACTGACATTTGAGATGAATCGGCGCACGCGCCGATTGTCTCCCGAGTCAGCACATAACGGAAGGAAGACACGCGGCATTGAACTGGATCCACGTAGCGCTAGCGTATGTGCAGGGAATCGTAATCACTCGTATAGTAAGGAAACAAAGAGTTCCGATACTTTAAAACTTACCCCTTTAAATTGTCAGGAAGCTGCTCCAAGTATTTTTCTTGTTATAGTTACTATTTATTACCTACCACGAATCTTCTGACAAAATAAAATGGGCAATAGTGTCGATGCAGTTAATCTTGGCCGGTGATATCTTTATTTCATTGAATAAGTTCACGTAGATATCACGATGAAAACATATTTTTTGACAAATCATTGATACATATATGTTGAGTAAGGAATTTCACTTTTCTGAATTTTTGGATAGACAAACTCTTTTACTGACCAAATTCTTACCCAAATTTATTTTGTCAAAATTTTCGTATTTCCAAAATAACCGTCACATTTATAATGTCAGTACTTTTAAACAACAAAGTCCACTTTATCGACGTAGAAGAAACTAAATAAAGAAAAATATCGTTTTCTTGACACCAACACTACATAGGTAACTACAAGCACTTTCGCACTTAACGGAAAAATCTAAGCAACTGCGCGTGCGCAACTAACTGCTTGAAATATGGGAAGGGTTGTTAACGGAAGAAGTTAACATCACGCTTGTTACATAAAACTGTTGTATTGCTCGTCGACTTACACTGTAAATAATATTTATTGCAAACGTGTTAATAACATCGATAATTTATCAAACGGTCATGTTTAAAAAGAAAAAGCCGGCTAAGTGCGAATCGAATTCGTGCTCGAGGGATTCGGGACCAAAATATTTATTTGTTCATTGAGCAAAGAGTTTTAGAGTCGACCCAAGTGTTAGCTTAATCGCGATTTTTTAATATTTTAAATTGGCTAATGTGGTCCCATAGAAACAAAAAGTCTCCTAAAATTACGGTAAGCATATTTATATGCCGTTTAATAGCTTGAAATCTGGAGTCGAAGTCTGATTGAGAATAAAATGACTGCAGGGTTGGTGCGGTGGCTGGGCAACTGGCTGCCGTGCAACGTGTCGCGGGTTCGATTCCCGCACGGAACAACACTTTGTGTGATCCACAATTTGTTGTTTCGGGTCTGGGTGTCATGTGTATGTGACATTGTATGTTTGTAAACGCACCCACAACACAGGAGAAAA